ATGGATTCATGATTTCTATAAGAAATATATTGGAAACTAATAAGATAAAACTCTAGAAAGAAAAATAAAACCCTTTTTTATTAAAAAAATATGCAATTTGATGGTTTTTGTAACGGACGTAACATTGTATGTCAAAAAATTTAGGAAGTTAAAAATGGCCCAATATTCCTAAAAAAGAAACATATCTGTTACTTTTAAATGTTTATCAAATTAGTGAATATATACAGTAAGAAATTTAAAAAAAAAATTGGTAATCATGCATTTTATTTTTGGTCCATCCACAATGGAAAGTCATTGACCCAAATGTATGTCAAAATCCTGTTCGTCCGTTACATGGTAATAGGATTTGTAGTGTATTAAAATACAAACATGCATATTTCTTTTGAAAAGATAATTTAACTATCTTATAATACCCCTTTTCTAAAACATTGATATCATATGTTCTGTTCCACAGAGTTTAGCCAAAATCATCTGTATTCTATTTTTCCATGAAAATGTTAGGATATCATGTCCATTTACTGTGAAATTACTCATATATGTATATGTGTGTATATATATATATATATGTATATGTATGTATATATATATATATATATGTATATGTATGTATATATATATATATATGTGTATATGTATGTATATATATATATATATTAGCATGCTCAATCTGTTCATCTTCTTTTTTTTCTTACACATGCGCAGTATTAAAAATGTTTTGTTATTAAAGTGGTCAAAACAGCCCGACCAAAACAAATTGATATGTTAAATATTATTATCATGTATAATTGCAATATAGAAGAAGGGATAATGAGGAAATTTCCCCATCAGACAGGAATGGAATCCAGGATTAAAATTGAAAACTAGATTTAAATCTAGCCAGCTAGCTTTTTTGTAGTTCTATCAGGATAGGAAGTGTCTGAGTCCTGCGATGGCCGAGACTCTACTGGTGCTGGACAGGGTTGATAAATCCCTGCTCAGCGACATGAGCGTATCCCCATACTGCGGTTTGGGTGCTGGCTTGGATTTTCTTTTTTATTTTCCAGTTACATCTGCTCACTTGTTCTACGCATAGAGACTCTCGTATTTTGCGCAATATAAATGAATAACCTTTAACCTTTAACCTTTAAATAAATGATATTGTTGGTGGTTGATTTACATGAATAAAAAAAACAAACCAATTCATTATTTACTTTAGTTTCCTAATTATGAACAATAAAAACCTAATTATCCATGAAAAAAAGAAACAAACCTACCTTTGCAGAACTTTGGTTGCATAAGTATTGCAGCAAAGTGGTTCTTCGCCATGGGGGGTATGAATAACACACTTTACATCAGAACCATCAGTAAGGTCCATCTGAACTAATAGAGAAGAATGAAATATAGATATAAAGATTATGTCACTGAAGTAATTATACAGTACTGTACATGTTTTTCTACTCAGTAAGGTATTGTTGTTACTGGCTATAGGAAGAAAAATGGTTTAATGGTTCCAATCTGTTGAAGAACTTTTTCTGTCGGAGTAGAATTAAGGTTTCCAAGAACAATTGTTCATACATATTAAAAAGGCCAAAAAAAGATTACTTGTGGTGCATCGTGGCGCAGCCTCAATTCCATGTTCCTATGCAGCCATTGGTAAAGTATTACACTGAGCTGGGTGTTTGTGATAGTACATAGGATGGGCATCAAATCCATGAAATTTAAGATATAGCAACACTACTGTAGATGACCAGAAATGGCACTCCAAAAACGAAGAAGGGAGTAATAAAGTTCTTGTGTATTGCTTTAATATATACCATAGGAGTGATGAATATATATCATATAATGCTTTCAAGGGCACAATTACATGACTAAAACAGTACTACAAATTCATATCCAACAGGTGTTGGGAAATTTAAGTTTCCTTGCACAGATGCACATGCATGGACAATTGCAAAGGTTTCTATTGCTTTACAGCCTCTTTCCACAAACTATGGGTTGCGACCCAAACACTGGATCATGAAGAAATTTTAGTGGGTCGCGCAATCGCCTCCGATAAAAAAAAAGTGCAGACAAAAGAATGTCAGCAACCGAACACGGGACTGAACCCTGATGCATGTGAGTTAGCATGATATTTACCGAGCGAATAATACATTCCTGTTCTGATTTACTTAAACAGGAGTAAGGTAAAGACATCAGCCAGGTTGCAACAAACTTTACAATGCCGACAACATGGATGTGTGAGGCTGGATTTCAGTAGTTCCGTATACATGCTGAATTTTTGGCTGTTAATAGAACTGGTCCATGGCACCCGGCTTTTAGAAAAAAAACCCGGGTTATAAATCCTGCTGCACAGATGCACATGCATGGACAATTGCAAAGGTTTCTATTGCTTTACAGCCTCTTTCCGCAAACTATGGGTTGCGACCCAAACACTGGATCATGAAGAAATTTTGGTGGGTCGCGCAATCGCCTCCGATAAAAAAAAAGTGCAGACAAAAGAATGTCAGCAACCGAACACGGGACTGAACCCTGATGCATGTGAGTTAGCATGATATTTACCGAGCGAATAATACATTCCTGTTCTGATTTACTTAAACAGGAGTAAGGTAAAGACATCAGCCAGGTTGCAACAAACTTTACATTGCCGACAACATGGATGTGTGAGGCTGGATTTCAGTAGTTCCGTATACATGCTGAATTTTTGGCTGTTAATAGAACTGGTCCATGGCACCCGGCTTTTAGAAAAAAACCCGGGTTATAAATCCTGCTGGTTTGTTGAATAGCATGGGTTCTGAAATTATTTATTGCCCCTGAAGCCCATGAGATGAAGTGAGTGATTGTATTTGGTTTCTTGTTTACATTCCAATGGCTATATGTTGCTGGACAGGACTCTCTTGTTAACTCCCAATGTGCATTCTTAAAACCAATTAAAGTTAAGTTTATGGAGCTGCTAACAGCTCCCTCTGGACCATTTAACAGCTCACTCTCAACTATCAGACAGCTAACTATGGACCATTTCTGCTAATGGGGACTTTTGCCTCATGTATTCTCCTGTATAAGCCAAAACTTTAATAGCAAATTACGATAGAAAAACGTGGGCTCGTCTTCTACGCGCAACATAGGCCTACACATTTTTACATTTTAAAAATTATGTGTCTTGTGTGGATTGTCGTAGCACGCGAATTTACTACTACAATACGCCAAAAAAAAAAAAAATCGTTGAAAAAATTTTTTCGGGGTCATCTAACTCTACAGTCAGCAACCTTTAACCTCATGGGACCTAAAATAAACTGCCATACTCTCCTATGACCCAAGGTCTCCAGTTACCTCACCCTTTAGAAAACCCAATATACAACACTATATCAAAATATTGTGTAGTGTCTCATAACAACATTTTGTGGAGAACAGCATCAAGAACCCTGCAATTTGAATACAACTGGTTTTAACATCATCATTATCATCAAATCTTTATTACTTTTGATAAACTGAAAATATGCTGAATTTTATGTTGACATCAAATTCTCCTTCTTGCCCATAATTCCTATCTGCCCTGTTAAAAAAAATATTAGCCTGTTTACCAATACTATAATAATAATAATACCTTTTCATCAGTGGCACACTTAATAGGCATAATGGAAAAAATGTTTGGGCAAGCAGCTGCTGAGCACGGCATAGAAATAGGCTCCTACTTGATATAGTTTTCTTTTTTTTATTTGGCTACTTTTAACTCATCAATGCTTTCTGTGTTGGTAATTCACTTGAATAACTGTACAAGTATTACCAGATTGTTGACTTTTTAGTGAATTTTCAGTGAACAGATCTTATCTAGCAGCTTTCTGTGTTGGCAATTCACTTGAATAAATTAACTAGGACAGGTCTTATCTAGCATGGCATATTTCGTAAACTTACTTTCCATTTTCATCTTTAGCTTATGACCCATTCCATCATTCCTCCACCGGATTTACTCTTACAAGGTCAATTGCCAGAGGATAGTAATGTGTCTATTGGGGCAGAAGACACAAAAACGGGCTGGGTTGTTCAATCACAATAATGTAGGTAAAAAAAACCTTGCGGTGATATATTAATTGCTTGAGTGCTGACAATGACAGAGTAGCAATGACAACACCTACTCAGAGTACACCACCAGTGCACAGGTAAGTTTTATCAAGCTTATCAGTTCATAAGAGATGAAAACAATTTAATACAAATTTGAAGAAATAGTGGCATAGGCATAGGCAGTGCTGCCAATGCAAAGAACTGGGGCCCGGGGCTATTGGGGCCCATTCAATAGCCATATAGATCTAAAAATATAACTTTAAAAATTCCTACCTAAGCTTTCACCACAATAATAGGCCTATTTCAAAATGTCATTATTATATGTTATCAGACTCCTAGAATTCCCAACCTAGATGATAAAATATATGACTTAACTATATGTTGTTCTCAATATCATTGAATATATTTTCAAATATTTTATAGATATTTATGCTCTTTACAATGCCGTATCCATTTTAAATAATTTCAGAATGTAATGTTATGCATCAAGAGACTCCACCAAGGTTCTGTCTTTGCATCCAATCAGGTGGCTTTATGGTCCAGCAATTATCTTGAACTGGGGCCATTCATCAACTTGCTACGCTGCTGGAAATAGTCATTTTTAACAAGTGTTTGTTCAATGTTTTCACAGGGATAATTGTTTAATAACAAAACTTACAAAATCTTTTTTAGACCCAGATGCGATCTGACGACCCTCAAAAGGTTCTCGATGACCCAAAAATGGGTTGTGACCCAGGGGTTGCAGCCGTAGATCTAAATATGTAGATTGCCTTATGTGTGATAATAATGGTTCATATCCAAGTAGTCCAAGTCCAAGTCGGAACAAACTGCAAACAATGACCTGTGTGCGAACTTGAGGATTGCATTATAGCTGCTCAAAAGCCAAACCAATGAATTTTCTATAGATGTCAAGAAGTAGACCATTGCACTAACGGTAAAGGTTAATTCAAGTTAGTTTTAAGTTGAATTTTTACTTTCACTTTTATGTGAATACTTTTCCTTGCTATTGCTTGCATCTACACAAGTTATGTATGGTTTTTTTTTATTTTTTTATAAAACTAGAGGTTGCCATGGAGATGGTTAACCACAGATACTCTTAACAACAGGATTCAAAGATGTGATGACTCACTTTTTGGGCTTGGTAATTTCGGAGGGAAAACTTTGGGAGGAATATTTAAGAGTGAGAAGTTGAGCAATGATAAAACAGGTTTTCCTGAGCCAGTATTGAAGCTCTCATTCGAATATCTGAGGCTATAAAATTGGAAGACAAATAAAAATTAAGGGAGGACCACTTTAGCTTTGATTTAATATAGATGAATATTACTGTAGCACAATGTAACCTTGTAGTGGAAGCTGAAATAAATACTTGTATACAGCAGTTGGATTCCAAAGTATTTATTTTTCTTGCGTAATTCATGTGATGAGTAGTATGAGTAGTGTAGTACAATAAAATAGAAGTAGAAGTTTAATTGCCAAAAAAGCTTTAAAGATCTTTCAAAACACTAAATATGGGGTGGGGGCACAGGTGCTCTCAGTATATTAATAAAAACTATGCTTCAAAGTATATCAAATTAGGTTTACCGAGTAGCACCCTAAACAAAATATGAACAAATAGATAAATAAAAACATTGCTCAGATAGTAACAAAAGTATGTTATAATCAAGAAAAGGCCTTCAACAAAAAGTTCCCCTTTCCCAGTTGTATAATCAAGGATAGTATCATACCATTGACAGAGAGATATATGGTATAGCAGCAAATCTAATCTACAGGCACTCTGTTTCATAGAAATGACTTATTCGTTGACATAGTGGAGCAATGTTTAAGCTGCAATAGCTTAGTGATCGCAGGAAATCATATATATATA